GAGTAACAGTCAGGGGTGAGAAATTGGACTGACGAACAGTAATGAGTGGAGTACCTCAAGGATCGGTGCTGGGACCAAGAGGATTTAAACAAGTATCCTTTTAGCGTGAGATTAGTGGCTAAATGGAATAAACTAAAGGAGCACATTGAAGAAGGAAACACTATTCATAGCTTTAAAACTAGGTATGATAGAGTAGAAGGACAGCAGTCATTGCTTTAAACAACCGAAGGCTAGAAAGGCGGGATCCAAGAGTCAACGCTCGATCCTGCAGGCACAAATAGGTGAAACACACACACACACACACACACACACACACCACACACACACACACACACACACACACACACACACACACACACACACACACACACACACACACACACACTACTGGTGGGTGAGAGGGGTCAACCACCCACACTAGCGCCAACTATGGAACAGGTCGACAAAGAAATCGTTATTATTGCAAACTTCACCTCGAAGTTGCCAGCTAAGTGTCGGTGTCTGCGAGTGCCAGTAGAGTCGGACAACTCCCACACCAATACACTCTACACACCCAAAGTCTACCCCCATTTTTCGGTGTATATTCATTACTAGCAGGCACCCGTAGTCTCCTGAGACTGATGGATGCCTGCTACTACTACTACTGTTACTACTACTGTTACTACTTTAATACTACTGTTTATTGAGAGTATACTTAACTCAGAAGTGTGATCAGGATTAAAGATTACTTGCTGGTTGGTCAATAGGCTATTGTAGTGGCCTTGATAACCCTCCAGAGGTTGATAGGCCTTGATAACCCTCCAGAGGTTGATAGGCCTTGATAACCCTCCAGAGGTTGATAGGCCTTGATAACCCTCCAGAGGTTGATAGGTCTTGATAACCCTCCAGAGGTTGATAGGCCTTGATAGCCCTCCAGAGGTTGATAGGCCTTGATAACCCTCCAGAGGTTGATAGGCCTTGATAACCCTCCAGAGGTTGATAGGCCTTGATAACCCTCCAGAGGTTGATAGGTCTTAATAACCCTCCAGAGGTTGATAGGTCTTAATAAACCTCCAGAGGTTGGTAGGCCTTAATAACCCTCCAGAGGTTGATAGGCCTTGATAACCCTCCAGAGGTTGATAGGTCTTAATAACCCTCCAGAGGTTGATAGGTCTTGATAACCCTCCAGAGGTTGATAGGCCTTGATAACCCTCCAGAGGTTGATAGGCCTGATAACCCTCCAGAGGTTGATAGGCCTTAATAACCCTCCAGCCTTAATAACCCTCCAGGTTGATAGGTCTTAATAACCCTCCAGAGGTTGATAGGCCTTAATAACCCTCCAGAGGTTGATAGGCCTTGATAACCCTCCAGAGGTTGATAGGCCTTAATAACCCTCCAGAGAGGTTGATAGGTCTTAATAACCCTCCTTGATAGGCCTTGACAACCCTCCAGAGGTTGATAGGCCTTAATAACCCTCCAGAGGTTGATAGGTCTTAATAACCCTCCTTAGGTCTTGATAACCCTCCAGAGGTTGATAGGCCTTGATAATCCTCCAGAGGTTGATAGGCCTTGATAACCCTCCAGAGGTTGATAGGTCTTAATAACCCTCCAGAGGTTGGTAGGCCTTAATAACCCTCCAGAGGTTGATAGGCCTTGATAACCCTCCAGAGGTTGATAGGTCTTAATAACCCTCCAGAGGTTGATAGGCCTTGATAACCCTCCAGAGGTTGATAGGCCTTGATAACCCTCCAGAGGTTGATAGGCCTTGATAACCCTCCAGAGGTTGATAGGTCTTAATAACCCTCCAGAGGTTGATAGGCCTTGATAACCCTCCAGAGGTTGGTAGGCCTTAATAACCCTCCAGAGGTTGATAGGCCTTGATAACCCTCCAGAGGTTGATAGGCCTTGATAACCCTCCAGAGGTTGGTAGGCCTTAATAACCCTCCAGAGGTTGATAGGCCTTGATAACCCTCCAGAGGTTGATAGGCCTTGATAACCCTCCAGAGGTTGATAGGCCTTAATAACCCTCCAGAGATTGATAGGCCTTAATAGCCCTCCAGAGGTTGATAGGCCTTAATAACCTTACAGAGGTTGATAGGCCTTGATAACCCTCCAGAGGTTGATAGGCCTTGATAACCCTCCAGAGGTTGATAGGCCTTGATAACCCTCCAGAGGTTGATAGGCCTTAATAACCCTCCAGAGGTTGATAGGTCTTAATAACCCTCCAGAGGTTGATAGGCCTTAATAACCCTCCAGAGGTTGATAGGCCTTAATAACCCTCCAGAGGTTGATAGGCCTTAATAAGAATCCAGAGATTGATAGACCCGAAGCATGTCAATCAAACCAGTCATCAATCTTTCCCCCCCCCCCCCACCCCCCTCTCAGCCTTTTTCTTTGACATCTCAAGACGTGATTCCAAGGTTGTTCCATAGTCTCAGCTGTTGATATAGCTATCAGGAGGCACCCCCTAAGAGGTGAGGGGGGTGGGGGCGCTCACCCCCGCTCCTACACCCTCCCCCCACCCACACCCTCCCCACCCTATTAGAGCCCAATATATTCCACCAGGAGTGAGCCAAATCACTGTGATCTCTTGCTGCTGATGATGTACATTAGTTCTGAATAATTACACAATCTGTGTAATTATATGTTATTTAATCTTGATTTTCATGTTATTTGCGTGAGTTTTATTTTTCTGTGGCGATGGGCGGCCTGCCTTCACCAGCTGGTGATGGCTGCCTTCACCAGCTGGTGATGGCTGCCTTCACCAGCTGGTGATGGCTGCCTTCACCAGCTGGTGATGGTTGCCTTTACTAGCTGGTGATGGCTGCCTTCACCAGCTGGTGATGGCTGCCTTCACCAGCTGGTGATGGCTGCCTTCACCAGCTGGTGATGGTTGCCTTTACTAGCTGGTGATGGCTGCCTTCACCAGCTGGTGATGGCTGCCTTCACCAGCTGGTGATGGCTGCCTTCACCAGCTGGTGATGGCTGCCTTCACCAGCTGGTGATGGTTGCCTTTACTAGCTGGTGAAGGCAGTCTTGGGAGATAATAATGAAACTGATTTATTATGATAATTTATAGCCATAAGAATAGGTATTAGAGCCAAAGTATACAAGAACTACGACACCATACACCAGCCACAGTATACACCAACCACAGTATACACCAGCCACAGTATACACCAGCAACAGTATACACCAGCCACAGTATACACCAGCCACAGTATACACCAGCCACAGTATACACCAGCCACAGTATACACCAGCCACAGTATACACCAGCCACAGTATACACCAACCACAGTATACACCAACCACAGTATACACCAGCCACAGTATACACCAGCAACAGTATACACCAACCACAGTATACACCAGCCACAGTATACACCAGCCACAGTATACACCAGCCACAGTATACACCAGCCACAGTATACACCAGCCACAGTATACACCAGCCACAGTATACACCAGCCACAGTATACACCAGCCACAGTATACACCAGCCACAGTATACACCAGCCACAGTATACACCAGCCACAGTATACAACAACAACAGTATACAACAACCACAGTATACACCAGCCACAGTATACACCAGCCACAGTATACACCAACCACAGTATACACCAGCCACAGTATACAACAACAACAGCATACAACAAATACAGTAAAGTGCAGCACATGAGAGTAAATCTTAGTTAGTGTTGTATTTCTGGCCATTTTTGTACACACAGAGCCACAATGATTCATGTTTTATGAAGTAAATTGTTTATTTTCTAGACATAACATGAGCCATGGGGCTGGGGAAGGGTCAACACCTGTCGATAGACACGTCAGCCACTGCAAAACTGACACCTGTAGAAACACATGCTGCAGATATATTGGTTTACCTGCGGTGGTGAAGTGTCACTAGACACAACATGTGAACTGTGAAGCTGTTTACCACCTCGGGTCAGTCACCCCGGCGCCCGGCCCGGCATGTCCTTCCCTGGGAGAGGGTATTGTGGCGGACTGTTTCTGGTGTGTGGTGTGTCCCCTCGCTGCTGGCCACCATGACCGCCTGGGGAACTGTTATAACATACTGCTACATACACACACATATACTTCACATACACACACATCACGGTGTGTGTGTGTGTACAATAATATTCTGAGGCTTGACTAGCATAGTGCTGAAAGTCCCAGAGTAAGTAGTATCAGTAGGCATCTATCAGTCTCAGGAGACTATGGAGTTGCGCTCTGATGTCGGCCTGGTCTGGAGTGGTCTCACCAGGGCGCAAAGCCAGGGTAGGTTCATTCGGGCAGAGAAGCTGTTACCCAAGCAGCTTACCCATAGTAAATAACCCCATGTTAAGTACCCTGGGAGGCAGAAGCAAGTGGTCTTACAAGATATAGTACACCTCACACACATCATATAAGGACATTTTTCATTTACAGAGGAGAGGAAAGCACTGTTTATCAGATCGTCAGGAGAGTCTGATGGAATTACCTACTTTTACCCTTCGCTAAAATCTTTCGTTTGATAATATATTTCAAGGTGTGAAGACAGTAGCGGTGGGTCCCTGTGTAGGACTGTGGCGGGACCCGTGTAGCACAGTCACCATGCAGGTCCACATGCCACAGCTGGTCGTGATCAATACTGCTGGCCGAACCTCCACTACGACTCTATGGATCGCTGTGTGAACTTGAGCAACATCATTAGGCAGCTCACTTAGGTTCACGCTTGAACTCCTACAGGAGTGGGGGTCCTGGAAGCCCCCAATGGGTGATGGCCTCCTGGAAGCCCCCAATGGGTGATGGCCTCCTGGAAGCCCCCAATGGGTGATGGCCTCCTGGAAGCCCCCAATGGGTGATGGCCTCCTGGAAGCCCCTGACGGGTGATGGACTCCTGGAAGCCCCTAATGGGTGATGGCCTCCTGGAAGCTCCCAATGGGTGATGGCCTCCTGGAAGCCCCTGACGGGTGATGGACTCCTGGAAGCCCCCAATGGGTGATGGCCTCCTGGAAGCCCCCGTCGGGTGATGGACTCCTGGAAGCCCCCGACGGGTGATGGCCTCCTGGAAGCCCCCAATGGGTGATGGCCTCCTGGAAGCCCCCCAATGGGTGATGGCCTCCTGGAAGCCCCCAGTGGGTGATGGCCTCCTGGAAGCCCCCAATGGGTGATGGCCTCCTGGAAGCCCCCAATGGGTGATGGCCTCCTGGAAGCCCCCAATGGGTGATGGCCTCCTGGAAGCCCCCAGTGGGTGATGGCCTCCTGGAAGCCCCCGACGGGTGATGGCCTCCTGGAAGCCCCCAATGGGTGATGGCCTCCTGGAAGCCCCCAATGGGTGATGGCCTCCTGGAAGCCCCCAATGGGTGATGGCCTCCTGGAAGCCCCCAATGGGTGATGGCCTCCTGGAAGCCCCCAATGGGTGATGGCCTCCTGGAAGCCCCCAGTGGGTGATGGCCTCCTGGAAGCCCCCAATGGGTGATGGCCTCCTGGAAGCCCCCAATGGGTGATGGCCTCCTGGAAGCCCCCAATGGGTGATGGCCTCCTGGAAGCCCCAATGGGTGATGGACTCCTGGAAGCCCCCAATGGGTGATGGCCTCCTGGAAGCCCCCAATGGGTGATGGCCTCCTGGAAGCCCCCAGTGGGTGATGGCCTCCTGGAAGCCCCCAATGGGTGATGGCCTCCTGGAAGCCCCCAGTGGGTGATGGACTCCTGGAAGCCCCCAATGGGTGATGGCCTCCTGGAAGCCCCCAATGGGTGATGGCCTCCTGGAAGCCCCCAGTGGGTAATGGCCTCCTGGAAGCCCCCAGTGGGTGATGGCCTCCTGGAAGCCCCCAATGGGTGATGGCCTCCTGGAAGCCCCCAATGGGTGATGGCCTCCTGGAAGCCCCAGTGGGTGATGGCCTCCTGGAAGCCCCCAATGGGTGATGGCCTCCTGGAAGCCCCCAATGGGTGATGGCCTCCTGGAAGCCCCCAGTGGGTGATGGCCTCCTGGAAGCCCCCAATGGGTGATGGCCTCCTGGAAGCCCCCAATGGGTGATGGCCTCCTGGAAGCCCCCAATGGGTGATGGCCTCCTGGAAGCCCCCAATGGGTGATGGCCTCCTGGAAGCCCCCAGTGGGTGATGGCCTCCTGGAAGCCCCCAATGGGTGATGGCCTCCTGGAAGCCCCCAATGGGTGATGGCCTCCTGGAAGCCCCCAATGGGTGATGGACTCCTGGAAGCCCCCAGTGGGTGATGGCCTCCTGGAAGCCCCCAATGGGTGATGGCCTCCTGGAAGCCCCCAGTGGGTGATGGCCTCCTGGAAGCCCCCAATGGGTGATGGCCTCCTGGAAGCCCCCAATGGGTGATGGCCTCCTGGAAGCCCCCAGTGGGTGATGGCCTCCTGGAAGCCCCCAATGGGTGATGGCCTCCTGGAAGCCCCCAATGGGTGATGGCCTCCTGGAAGCCATCAGGAGGCCATCACTGAAGGTGTGGGGGGGGAGGGGGTTTGTTGGGGGTTCTCCCCCTGACCCGTTGTTGTTGTTGTTGTTGTTGTTGTTGTTGTTGTTGTTGTTGTTGTTGTTGTTGTTGTTGTTGTTGTTGTTGTTGCTGTTTTAGATTTATCTACTCAGAAGGAAGTGTCCATGTAGCACGGGCTATGGTGAGCCCGTAAATATACCCTGAGCCGTCTACTCCCTCCACTAAGTACCTCCAGGCAGTACTGTAACTAGGTCACTACCTCCCTCCCTTCCCTCTCACCTTACCCTTGTCTCACTAACACACTTCCCTTCACTCTTTTTACTGCTTCCATCCCCTCTCTCACCCTCCTTCACTCTCTCTCACTCTCCCTCACTCTCTCACCCCCCCTCACTCTCTCATTTACACCTTCCTCTAGGTCTACCCCCTGCCCACCATTCATCTACCCCCCCTCACACACTTATCTCCCCCCTCCCCCCCCCACTCCCTCCCCCCCCCCACTCTCACCCCTCCTTCACTAGATCAAGTAGGCTGTAGTTACATTCTTTCTTTACATTACAGTGTCAAACTATGGGAGGATGAGTGCCAACCTGTGTCAGACATGTGGCACTCTACCTGTGTCAGACACGTGGCACTCTACCTGTGTCAGACACGTGGCACTCTACCTGTGTCAGACATACATGACACCACTGAGGTACCTGGGGTACTCCACCTGCAGACCTCGGGTACACTAAGGGAGCAGACGTGCCTCTTCCCCTGATCTAGGTAAGAAAATGATCAGAGGAACAGCACTAATCCAACAGAACTATACAGTCCTTGGGAGGGATGAGTGGTAAGGACTGTGAGAGGCAAGAACTAACAGGTATATCCATGGCCAGTCAGAACCACCAGTCTATACGTAGTCAATCGTTGCAAACATTCCGGTCCTCCCTGCCCTGCGTGTTTGTAAATGGCTTGTTTAATGTGTGTAAAAAACCTGCCTAGAAGGTTGTAAGGTTGCCAGAGTGTTTGCATGTGTATAAGTGAGTCTCAGGAAGGTTTCTGGAAGGTGAGAATATAGACAGAGAGAAACAGGACAAAGAAGAGATTGAGACGCTGGGTGGTGCTGGTCTCACGTCAGCGACAGGGAATCGATCGCCGGCTCGCTCTGCTCTCGTCAACATAACCTAATCTGATCCGGCTACGTTTAGTTAACCCCCTTGTTGACGCAGTTCCTCCGACCTTCCGACACACTGAGTGGGGCAATTCCTACAGGGCAAAACACCCGCTCCTTGTATCACAGTTTAATCAACGTTGAGTAGCATTTAATTCACGTTGATTCATTATTGTATAAACGTCATTTTAGATTAGTTTAAGACAGGATAGGTAAAGCTAGGACAGGATATAGACTTGGTTAAGTTAGGCTAGGACAGGATATAGACTTGGTTAAGTTAGGCTAGCACAGGATATACACTTGGTTAAGTTAGGCTAGGACAGAATATAGACTTGGTTAAGTTAGGCTAGCACAGAATATAGACTTGGTTAAGTTAGGCTAGGACAGGATATACACTTGGTTAAGTTAGGCTAGGACAGGATATACACTTGGTTAAGTTAGGCTAGGACAGGATATACACTTGGTTAAGTTAGGCTAGGACAGGATATACACTTGGTTAAGTTAGGCTTGCACAGGATATACACTTGGTTAAGTTAGGCTAGGACAGAATATAGACTTGGTTAAGTGAGGCTAGGACAGGATATTTTAGGCTAGTGCTGTATAGGCTAGGTGAGATTAGGTGTCTAATTCAAATAGGTTGGGTTACGTTAGGTTAGGTTAGGAGAGGATAGGTTAGACTAGGTTACGATAGGGCTAGAAGAGAATAGGTTACGTGACAGTTCTGTTTCCCACAATGCATAAGACTTAAGTTGTTTGCAGCGCTGCCAGATGTACACACTATCCTCGCTGGCTATCACTGTTATGTGCTGGATAGTGAGCTTAGGTTAGGTTATAATCCTACATAATCTTGCATCTAAATCAGGGCAATCCCCCATCCGGCTCTCCAAATGGCGAAACCCCCTCTGGGTCACCCCAAACACCACAATACTCCTCTGAGTCTGCCCAAACAGCACGATACCCCTCTGAGTCTGCCCAATGAGTGCCCAAATACCACACCATCGCCTATCGGTTCTAATATATAAACTATTTTGAGTTAAATACTTAGTTTCCTGTATTGCTCCACGCAGTTATGGATCAAAGTTATCACTAAATTGGATCTTTGAAGAGTTTACCATCATTGACATGACGAAAATCAGGACAGAAGTCTCTTTACGTGGGTGGGATGAAGTTAGGGCCACCTCCAGTAAGCTCCAGGAACTGTTTCTCTTCCCCTGGAATTCTGGAAATACGAACTTTTACCCATTTGAGCTGAACTCTTCATGGAGACGAGATCTCTCTCTTGCTTTCTCTCTTTCCTGAATAACACTTGACTCATATTGGTGTCTCCCATGTACACCTGACTCATATTGGCGTCTCCCATGTACACCTGACTCATCTGCCGCTCCCTCGCCCACCTGCCTCTCCCACGGCTGCCTCACCCTCACTCATGTGGTGGGTCAGGTGTGAGGTGAACATATTTCCTTTTTAAAGTTGCTTCAGGCCGTCTTAACTTTGCATTCATGACGTGAGTGACTGGAGGTCCAGGACCTCATTAATGAGGTACTGGGCAAAATGCTCTGAAACCCTCACACACTCGTCACCTTCTGAATCTCACAACCTTGAGGCCCACCACGCCCCTCAAGGCCCACCATGCCTTGAGGGCCCACCACGCCCTCAGGGCCCACCACGCCCTCAGGGCCCACCAAGACCCAGCACCTCTCGCCAAGCCGGCGCCGGACACCATCTTCCCGCTCGAAGAACCTTTAGCCACAAATCGTTTACAATCTATCAACATCCCCGTGACCCCGGGCGAGACGTCGTAACAATGCGGGCCGTTGAATAGGAATGCATGACGACAGTATCAAGACCCTGTAGTGGGCTAGATCGCGTTCCGTGATCCGGAGTCCTATCATTGAGGTATTCTTGGGCGGCCGATACGTAATCTGGTTAATAATGAAGCTACCCGTTTTCTATTTCGGTGATACGTGGAAGGTCAAGGGGGGGGGGGTTAGTTATTTCTGATGCAGCATTTATTTTCTCATCGATTGTTTACCAGGCTGAGCTAGACCTTTTCCTTCACTCAGGTTGGTACAGGAGCAGACGACTGCTGACTCCTGTTAGCTGGCTGAGAGCTTTCCCTTCCCATAGCTCATGGTAAGCCTTACCTTACTAGTTTTACACACAGGAGGGTACAGGAGCAGACGACTGCTGACTCCTGTTAGCAGGCTGAGAGCTTTCCCTTCCCATAGCTCATGGTAAGCCTTACCTTACTAGTTTTACACACAGGAGGGTACAGGAGCAGACGACTGCTGACTCCTGTTAGCAGGCTGAGAGCTTTCCCTTCCCATAGCTCATGGTAAGCCTTATCCTACTAGTTTTACACACAGGAGGGTACAAGAGCAGACGACTGCTGACTCCTGTTAGCAGGCTGAGAGCTTTCCCTTCCCATAGCTCATGGTAAGCCTAACCCTACTAGTTTTACACACAGGAGGGTACAGGAGCAGACGACTGCTGACTCCTGTTAGCAGGCTGAGAGCTTTCCCTTCCCATAGCTCATGGTAAGCCTTACCCTACTAGTTTTACACACAGGAGGGTACAGGAGCAGACGACTGCTGACTCCTGTTAGCTGGCTGAGAGCTTTCCCTTCCCATAGCTCATGGTAAGCCTTACCCTACTAATTTTACACACAGGTGGGTACAGGAGCAGACGACTGCTGACTCCTGTTAGCTGGCTGAGAGCTTTCCCTTCCCATAGCTCATGGTAAGCTTTACCCTACTAGTTTTACACACAGGAGGGTACAGGAGCAGACGACTGCTGACTCCTGTTAGCTGGCTGAGAGCTTTCCCTTCCCATAGCTCATGGTAAGCCTTACCCTACTAATTTTACACACAGGTGGGTACAGGAGGAGACGACTGCTGACTCCTGTTAGCTGGCTGAGAGCTTTCCCTTCCCATAGCTCATGGTAAGCCTTACCCTACTAGTTTTACACACAGGAGGGTACAGGAGCAGACGACTGCTGACTCCTGTTAGCTGGCTGAGAGCTTTCCCTTCCCATAGCTCATGGTAAGCCTTACCTTACTAGTTTTACACACAGGAGGGTACAGGAGCAGACGACTGCTGACTCCTGTTAGCAGGCTGAGAGCTTTCCCTTCCCATAGCTCATGGTAAGCCTTACCCTACTAGTTTTACACACAGGTGGGTACAGGAGCAGACGACTGCTGACTCCTGTTAGCTGGCTGAGAGCTTTCCCTTCCCATAGCTCATGGTAAGCCTTACCCTACTAGTTTTCCCTGGAACACGACCCGCCAATTGGTTTACAATCTAGAGGACAATTACTGCTGGATAAACGGGGGCGAAGAGTTAAGGATTGGTGCCTAGACAGTCGTCCATAGCAATGTGTACAACCCGACATGACCGGCAGGCGCGGGGCGGGTGCCACCACCACCACAGCAGCGACATCTATGATGCAATTGTTAAGCTGTCAGGCTTTCATGCCCCGTCAAGCTGCCAGACTTTCATGCCCCATCAAGCTGCCAGACTTTCATGCCCCCGTCAAGCTGCCAGACTTTCATGCCCCGTCAAGCTGCCAGACTTTCATGCCCCCGTCAAGCTGCCAGACTTTCATGCCCCGTCAAGCTGCCAGACTTTCATGCCCCGTCAAGCTGCCAGACTTTCATGCCCCGTCAAGCTACCAGACTTTCATGCCCCGTCAAGCTGCCAGACTTTCATGCCCCCGTCAAGCTGCCAGACTTTCATGCCCCCGTCAAGCTGCCAGACTTTCATGCCCCGTCAAGCTGCCAGACTTTCATGCCCCGTCAAGCTGCCAGACTTTCATGCCCCGTCAAGCTACCAGACTTTCAT